GGCGAAACGTCTGCAGGATTCCAGTCGGATGCAGGATTTGCAGGATTCCAGTCGGATGCAGGATTCCAGTCGGAGTTCAACGAGCGAACGGATGATATCCCGGAATATAGTGTCATCATATATATATATATATATATATATATATATATATATAATATATATATATATATATATATATATATATATATATATATATATATATATATATATATATATATATATATATATATATATATATATATATATATATATATATATATATATATATATATATATATATATATATATATATATATATATATACTTAAGAAATGGTTCTTGGGTTTTTTTTGGTCGTTTTTTAGTGAAATTAAAATAAGTTTCCGTTACTTGTGAAACATTTTATTTTTTGTGACGTTTCGGCCTTCAAGACCTTCTTCAGACATTTAATTTTAACCTACAAAAATGTATTTTTAAATAAAATTATTGATTGCATTGTTTTCCTGGTCATAATTAAAACATAGATAAAAATTTGTATAGGAGTCAGCAAAATAGATTGAAATGATTAAAAATTACTAGTGCAAGTCAATAGAACATACAAAGTGATTAAAAATAGTATAAAAATAGATGCACAACAATAAAACATACATAATTTTTTATATTACGATTACATACATACCTTAAGCCAAAAATCAACGGTTCACTATATAGTTGTTTGGTAATTTACAGTTTAACAACATTCACAACAGACATATCGAATATGATATATATTGATAAGACGACGAACCAAAACAATAATGCGAAGCACGGCAACGGAGTTTTTCGGAGTTTTTTTTTTTCTAAAGCGTTTTTTTTATTTATTTTTTTTTGGTTTGTGTGAGATTCACGGGTTAATTTGTCTCTGTATTTAATTAAGTTGTGATAAATTTTGCTAAGATTTTTTGTGTCAGTCTTAGAATTCATGGTGTTTGGATTTTTTTGGATCTCAATCATTTCATAAAATTCCCGTCTTTTTGTGTGGCTTCTTGAGCGTAAAATTTTCACACTTTGAAAGTCAAACGAGTGCTGATTCTCCCTGGAATGGCTCGAAAGAGCAGTGTTATTTTTTTTGTCATATTTATGGCCGTTTAAGCGACTTTTTAAGTATTGACGGCCATAAATATGACAAAAAAAAATAACACTGATTCCAGGGAGCCACACAAAAAGACGGGAATTTTATGAAATGGTTGAGATCCAAAAAAATCCAAACGCCATAAATTCTAAGACTGACACAAAAAATCTCAGCAAAATTTATCACAACTTAATTAAATACAGAGACAAATTAACCCGTGAATCTCACACAAACCAAAAAAAAAAAATAAAAAAAACGCTTTAGAAAAAAAAAACTCCGTTGCCCAACCGTGAAGAAACGTACATCCGTGCTTCGCATTATTGTTTTGGTTCGTCGTCTTATCAATGTGGCTTGTCGATTTACATATTCGATATGTCTGTTGTGAATGTTGTAAAACTGTAAATTACCAAACAACTATATAGTGAACCGTTGATTTTTGGCTTAAGGTATGTATGTAATCGTAATATAAAAAATTATGTATGTTTTATTGTTGTGCATCTATTTTTATACTATTTTTAATCACTTTGTATGTTCTATTGACTTGCACTAGTAATTTTTAATCATTTCAATCTATTTTGCTGACTCCTATACAAATTTTTATCTATGTTTTAATTATGACCAGGAAAACAATGCAATCAATAATTTTACTTAAAAATACATTTTTGTAGGTTAAAAGTAAATGTCTGAAGAAGGTCTTGAAGGCCGAAACGTCACAAAAAATAAAATGTTTCACAAGTAACGGAAAATTATTTTAATTTCAAGAATATATAAAATCAAAAGGATCCAAGAACTCAAACTGGAAATATTATATATATATATATATATATATATATATATATATATATATATATATATATATATATATATATATATATATATATATATATATATATATATATATATATATATATATATATATATATATATATATATATATATATATATATATATATATATATATATATATATATATATATATATATATATATATATATATATATATATATATATATATATATATATATATATATATATATATATATATATATATATATATATATATATATATATATATATATATATATATATATATATATATATATATATATATATATATATATATATATATATATATATATATATATATATATATATATATATATATGTCCATATATGCCACGATGCAACGCTATAGAAACGGTGTATACACGATCTAAGTAGTCTAAATTAAAATTTTCAGACGGACGCTACGATCACAGTAAACTGAATTTTCTTGTATATTGTTAGTTCAACTGTATACCCGGTAGAGGCGCGAGACCCAGTCTCTGCATATTTCACAAGATATATTCTACTTTCAGCTAGTCGATTTCCAGGCGTCCTTTGCGCCTTTGTTACGTAGCAACACTGTCACTATTAACTTTTCCAGACTGGCGCGAAATTGTAGGGTAACGGCTCTGCATCGCCTAGTTGTTTTGTTTTTTATATTGAATGAAATGGATTGGCGCTCCATAGTTCGAGCTTGTAGAAACAGTGGAAATAGAGAATTTTATTTATTTTACCACAAATTAAGAAGTAGGCTAAGTTGGAATTAACGTAAACGTAGCACAAATACACAAGACTTTTTTTCTAATTAAAAAATTAAATAATTAATAAAAGTTTATTTTCGAAATGTGTGGTAAAGAATTCAAAATCTACAAAAATCATATTTACATCCTGTTGCTAATGCCGTACTCTTTATATGATGTTAGATGTTAATGATTTAGAATTTAAAACAATATTGTGTGACACACGTTGGGAAACTCTTTTGTTTCGCTTGCTCTCTTCGTTCTGAGTAAATCCGCTATTGTATAATGTTATTTTTTTTGCAACTACTTGTCCGCTCGTTGCATTTTTTTTCCTTAATTCAATAAACTCGCGTCTGTCTTTACTTAGACGGCTGACTAGGTTGAAGTCAGTCGTTAAAGTCGGACAACAAACTCAATAATAACACCCAAGGCTCCAGGTGGGAATCGAACGTACAACCTGCTGCAAGTCAAGTTGGCAGGTCTAACGACTTACCAACCGAGCCATCCTCGATCACTTAAAAAAATTATTCTTTTTTTATTTAATTGCACGAATTGTTATTTTTCGATTATTTAATTAATTTAATATTGCATTATATAAATCTTCTGCTCCATTAAGCAACATTATTAAAATAATGTTTTAATTAAACAAACTGGCACCAACAAGTTTTGGTTTTTTATGTGCGAATATTATGCAAAAATTTCTGAATCTTTTTTAATTTTTGGATAAATTTTTAGAATTATTACGTTCTTCCGATAATTTCTGCTAAATACTATTTAGAGCGGTGTTCGAAATATTAAAAATATGGAATATAAATATTTATATTATAGAAATATTCAATATAAATGGTTGTCTAATGCAAGAGGAAAAGAAGTTGTTGGAATTTGCAAATTAAAATATCATTTGCTAAATACTTATCTAAATAATTGGTCAATAAAGTATTTTGATTTTATCGTCTAATAATATTATCTTAACATATAAAAACTATTTAAAACTATTTTATTAAACGATTTAAGTTCTTGACTTTTGCTTTTAATCAAACCAAAATAAATTTGAAAAGTAACGTTTCTATATTTTAGTAACAATTATCATTTTGAAATGAACTTTGATAAAAGTTATTCGATAAAAGTGTTATTTTTAATAGTTATTTTTCTTCATTGTCCCCTAAGATATAAATAAAAATAAAGTTGAACAAGGAATGAGAGGGCCAAAAAGTAAAGTACAGAATATCCAATAATGTGTCACCACTGCCACCGAACAATATTTGGCTATATTACTTTTTTAACAATGTTTTTCTAACTATACTCTCAAAGTGCATACCTAGTTTATAGACCTCTGAACTAAAGTATCTTTTTAGGTGATTTTGTGGCTTAAAGACGTTACCTAGGGCTGCGAGCCACTTCCGAGATTTCCGGTGATATATTAGCCAGGGCTTTGCTTCTGATGGCAAAGCTACGCATAGAGTATGCAACACCTTGTAAACTTCTTCAGTCACTCATTTATTAAGCACTCGCTCCGTTCGTGCCAAATAAACTAATATGGCATTTATCAAACTTGTTTAGCAAAGATTTCTGAAGATTTTTTTGTAAAGGAAACTGTCACAGAATAATGTAAGACTATTTACAAATATTCTGCATTCTACCTGCGTCGGTGCTTGATAAAACCTGTTGACGTTTCGCCGACCATCCTGGAGATCTCACAGCTGGTCCTGTTCATAAATTTGACCGTTACAAGAAAAATATGTTCCAGACAAGCATTTTTCAATTCCATTGACTAGGTTTGATTCCAGATTCCCGAATTGCAATATTGAAAGAGCTATGTCAAAACTATCCAGAGAAACAGAACAAAAAATATACGACTATGACAAATAAAGTCATAAGCAGTTGCCGAAAACAATAATGAAACCGAAATCTTATTCGATCCAATTAAAAATTAATCAATGTAATCGATTCTTCTACCAGGGAAAAATCCGAAAATCCATAGAAATATCTAAACAACCAATCTTAACCGCGTCTCTGTCTTCCACCAATATGGAAATCCGAGACAATGTTCATGTCCCTTCTTTAGCTCCGCCTCTCTAAAACAGTATATAAGTGGATTCAAAATAGAATGTGAGCAAGCTTCACTTAAGCTCTGAAGAAACCATCAAGATGATTGGCGAAACGTCAGCAAATGTCGACAAACGATGCAGAAAGGATCTAGAAGATTTATAAATAGCCTTCTGAAGAAAATGTTAATTTTGTTGAGTAACGAATGCCGCTCTTATCGCAGTTGTCTGTGTTCTTTATAATTTTATTAAAATTTAAAAAAATGCTTATTTTTTATTAAAACTAAAATAGTAGCCTCTAATAATTCCTCCTATATATTCCAAATAACTAACATCGGCCCATTTTAAACCAACATTAAACATACAAAACACAGTAATATGATGCCTCGGTTGGCCTCGTAAAAGAAAATAATTGAAAATTATATTAATTTCTAACTTAACAGTTTTTCTTAATTCGGTACAATAATTTATTGATCTACAAAGAAGTCAACCGTCAAGAACTTAGAAAACAATTTAAAAAAATTATATTTAAATATTAGTATTTATTTTTTACGAAACTTCTGTATTCCTCCTGCGTCGGTTTTTGCTGGGTCGAAATTGCTGACATTTCGCCAATCATCCTGTTGACTTCTTCAGAGCTTGACTGAAACTGGCTCGCATTGTACTCTGTACTTGCTTACATATTGTTTGAGGGGGGCGGAGCTAAATGAGGGACAGAAATACCGTCTCGGATGACCGATTCCCAATGCTCATTTTTGTGCCAATAATGCTAAGAATACTGAAACAATGATAAGCACTAAATTGGAGAGTTTGTGTAAATTATCATTGAAACATAATCTTAAATTAAGTGCAAGGAAGTCTTATGCACTATTCTCTGGTGCAAATAAAAAGGTAACTGTAGCTAAACAACAAATTTCTTTGAAAATTGATAACATTCCCTTATATGCCGTTAATTCTGCCAGAATCTTGGAATCATCTTGGACACGGAGCTTAGGTTTCGTGAACATGTCACGAAACTAATTCAAGAAGCATCTATTAACTTAAAACTTTTTCTCAATACAACCCTAAAACATAATCTATGCCAAAGCTTAGTGTTATCACATTTAACTATTGCGATCTCATTTATGGCCCATGTCTAGATCTTGAGGATTCTCATTCAAAAAATTATAGTAAATATGATCATGTGGCAGAAAACAAAAGAATTGGGCTGGTTAAAAATGGAAAAGAGTAGGTCTCTCCATTTGTGAAATTTTACTAATCGGCTTATAGCAGGTAGTGACCCTTCCCTCCTCAAAGCCAAGTTTCAGTTACGTCCTCAGAGCCCTTCACGTGGTAATTTAAAAAATGATGTAGTGTTTTCAATTCCTGTGTTCAATGTGTGTGTTTGGGTGTGTGTGTTTGGATGTGGTGGGGCTGGGGCGGGGGGTGGGGGGGTCGTCTACTTCCTTTCAAAATTCCAATATTATTTAATCATCATAATAAAACATTCAAGTTTCTAGAAGTACTTTACATGCTGTAACGCTATTTTTGCACAACTATGCAACTCTTTATCAAGCGGATCTATAAAGAGAAACGACACAGTTTATCAATAATGACCATCACTGTTAAAAAATTTACTCACATATTTTGTGCTTCCCCGAAATTGGGAAATATATTGGCAAAATTATAGGATTCGAACAAATCATAACATAGGGGCTTCCAGACTCTTCACAACTGGAGAACCTCTTTCTGTACGTTTCCTGATCTAAACAATCCTCAACATAAACACAGCCCAAAAGGCAACTCGTCGGATATTCTCTGGGAAACTTAATGGACGGATCTAAAATTTTATGTCCCTACAGGAATTGGTGTCGCTTGAAACAGAACAGAAGTTTAGTGCAACCAGTATCAATTTAGAAGCAATAATTAAAGAAAAAAATTTTCCTAAACATTTTCCAATGTCACCTTAATCATAGAAACAAATTTTTCGAATACATTTTCTATGCTCACATGTGAAAGTCTTTGGTATCAATTGAGAAACTTTTTTTCCAGATTTTCTAACCCCATTTTTGTGAAAGTCATTGGTATAAATTTACAAACAGTTAATCGTAGAATCAATTTTTTTCCTATATATATTCTAACCTCACCTTTGTGAAAATCTTTATAAAATGTTTCTAAAGATCGAACTTCGTCTTCCTCTGGTTGCTTTGCTGCGGCAGCTATCCACAATCGACCTCTATGATTTGTATACCAAACTCTACCTTCATGCCTAAATTAAAAAAAAAGGGTGTTTCGGGTTCTTTTTTAGCTGTTTAATTTTTTTAACCAAAAAAGTTACTCAATAGGTTCAGAATCAGTCATATATATATATATATATATATATATATATATATATATATATATATATATATATATATATATATATATATATATATATATATATATATATATATATATATATATATATATATATATATATACGATTTATTTGTAACATAGTGGCGACCTGGCCAGCTCAAAACAAATGCCGAAAGTATATCCTCAAATCTAATTCTGAAATAGGCTACACTTGGCAATTGTGATATTTTTCTTTTAGAATTATTTGTTTTCTATTCTACGTGAATTGTTTCTCTACGTCATTTTACAATTACTTATTAATGGTTTTAGGAATTTTAAATTTTTATTATTAAAGAATAACCCTGCAGTTCTACCTCTTTACACCAGCCACTAATAGGCTCGCATATGGCTGATGCAAGCTCAAGCACAATCCTTGATCCATATTAGGCAACATATCTTCATCAAGAATTTTCCTATTTAAATTATTTGCGGGCATTTTGCTATCTTCAATACCGAGATTTTCGGGTTCAGCTGGCTTTCTGTGCCTCATTTGAATCAACAAATCCACCAAATCATCAAGTGCATTCTGAAAGAGAAGGTCTTGACTTTGTTAGCACTAACAAAGAAATAAATATTTTTAATACTAACATGACTTCTTGACATTACTCCTTTAAATTGGGATCGTCGTTCTATATTTTTATACAGATTCTCAACTTTTTTCAAGTGCTCTATAGAGTCCTGGAGCAACATTTTTCTTATCTTGACATCCTCTTCCGAGCTCTCAATAACTTTCCTGCTAGCAAGATCAAGTGCAATGACCATTTTGTTTTTTTCAGTTTCTTCTTTTTTCGAGTTAATTTTAAAATAGTCATTGTCGTCATCGAAAACCTTATTTTTCTTAGGCCTAATAAAATTTATGAGTGACAGGCTTTAGATAATGTAAAATTACTCTTACTTCATAACAGATTTCTTGCCTTTTGAATCAAACATTGTTGCACCTCTAATGGATATCTGAAAATTTCCAACTAGAAAAGGTCTGATATAATTAGTAATCTGAGAACTAAAATCAAAATATTTTTATATATATTTTTACCATATTTCCACAGAATAAACAAGGACCAGGACCTTCCTTAATACAATGAATTCTGCCACATTCGATACAGTTGTTCAAGAAGTCATGCTCTTGTCCCAAACAATCACAGGTACTACGACCTGCAAACCAGAATTACGAACAAAATTTATAAAACCATTAACTCACATTCACTTCTAAAATGACCTTTAGTACCTTGCATTTCTGTTTTCTCCTCCTCAAATTGTTTTATACTGCGAAACTTCTTCTTTTCCTTTTTTCCTTGCAAATTTAATTTAAGATGTTTTTGATCAAAAGTTTGAGGTTCCTGGAATTTCGACTGCACTTTTTTGGTTGAAAATATCAAGTTCTTAATAGCAACGCTAGCAGTGACATGGCCAACATCATTTTTATTTACGATATTTTCCATAAATTCTTCAAAATCCTCCTCGTGCTTCATTCCGCGGATATACCTAAAATTGAACAAGTCTAGAAACTTACATTTATTTTCATCATACATTATTATACTCCACAATATTAGGTTCAACATCTTCGCCCAGAATTATCGTCAAATGATTATGAATTGAGTCAACAATTGCTTTCTGGAGGGACATCCTATTGATTGGGTCCCTGTTTCTCACAAACTCTCTCGTCTATAATTTCGCAATAAGCAAACCGTAATCGATTTCTTGCTGTAAAATTAAAACAATAAAACTTTCTCTAAAATACTGCTATTAAAATCTGCTTGCTGACCTTTAGATAAAAAATTGGTCGCTCTTCTTCTTTAGGTTCTAAAATTTGTTGAGCAACCAATTTATTATGATCATTCGCCTATAACGGAAATCCCTTATGTGGTTGCTCCGTAGGGAGATACACAATCAAACAAAGGAAGATATGGTATGATCAGGATGACATAAAAGCTCGGCCAAACTTATTCCCTTTCCCATGATGCATAGATGATACTTTGCGAATAGTAGTGGAAAGTTTGAATTTGTCTTTGGTTTAAATGTGCAGGACTGGGTTTAACAGGTTAAAGTGTTAAAAGGATATTAATATATTGAAGTGGTGTTTGGTGTTAAAATTTAAAAATTAGAAAGAACTTGATGGGAAGAATGGAATGATCGAAAATCAGAAGATGTCACAGAGCAAATGCTGCCGACTCTGCTGTTCCAACAACAATCTAATTTCGATGTTTGGCGGCAAAACTAAGAATAAAAGAGATTTGCTAAGGAAAATGATATTCGAGATATTGCAACTAGAGGTTATTACTCATTATACTCGTTATTAATTTTGGCAATATTTAATTTGTTTGGAAATACTGTCTTTTGGGCGTTATGCATTTTTTTTATTGCAGATACGGCCTTCCGACTCTGTTACCTCGGTTTGCTTCAACTGCTGCGTGGATATATCGAATTTCTTTACTTTTAAGTTAAATTATCTTCACTGTCAGGAGTATATAGAAGTGAGTGTTACGTTTTTTTTTGTAATATTTGTAAATATATAAATTATAATGGAGAAACTTTAACAACATATTCAGCAGATAAAAATAACTAAAAATGTGTATATAAACTTATGTCCTAAAATGCTTTGTTTCTGAGATTTAGGGTGTTGCACTACCGTTCGTTTTTTTGCTATTTTTAAATGTCTTATTATTTAATTAATTAAAAAAATATCTTAATTTAGTTTTGCAAACCTGACATGCAAGCACAAAAAAACGCTTCATTTTAGCGAAACAACTGAAGAGGCCATTTTTGTTTCGAACTGATCAAGGTATCTAAATTCTAACTAACCTAAGTTGATATGAACTTTTTTACTTACGTGGTGCTGAATATGGTGTTAAAGTTTCTCCATTATGATTTGGACCACCCTGTATTGTCCAAAGCCATTGTATGCTATAAAATATTGATTGACATTGATATACTTACTTTCCAACTATTTTTAAGTATTAAATAATCGAATAAACTTTGCTGTAGATGAAGTTTGGCAGAGAAGATAACAATAAGAAAATCAGACTCCAATGTAGTGACCTGCACGATATGCAAATTCCTGGTATTAAAGATATAGAATGCATAATAAATTGGTTAGTTAGTAAGGGGGGGTCGACTTCAAAGAAAACAGAAGATATAGGAATACAAACTTCAAGGGTAATATTGCGAGACATGCCCGTGCAAGTTTCTAGTGAGCCTGTGAAAAATGTTGTGGATAATGCCACTATGACTTTACCAATAATTGATGAAACCAATTCTAAACTAGCTAATGTACTGGATGTTCAGAATACATACCAACAATTAAATTCCAGATCAAAGCATAAAATGAGATCAAATCAAAACAAGAACAGAAGCTGCCAAACTAATTTTCTATGGTGTAGTGATAAGGATAAAAGTTCCAGCCTAGGAACAAGTAAATTAAAATATACAAACTCTGAAACCAGGATTCTTAAAGACAATTTAACTGAAACTAGCTCGTCAGAAAGGGGCAGCGAGAGTGCACAGTGCAGTTTATCCCTATCACCAAGTAAGGATTTTACTTTAACAGATACTTACTTCTCCTGCTTTAACTTAGGTAAAAACAGTTTTAGGCCAGTGAAGTCTCAATGTAACACCCACCGAGAAGCCATAGAAGAAACTAAAAGTCCCGAGCATCCCAATCCCTGCAAGTTTGAAGCTGTTTTGCCTCTATCATCAGGTTTGTTAGAAATAAATGGCTCTAAATATGTCACGATATGTAAATATTGCGATAAAGTACTTTGCAGTAAAGTAGAAATGGCCCTACACAATAGGATTCACCTGCGATGTATTTTGTGTAGGAAAAAATTCAGGAGCCAGAAAGGGCAGAGTAGGCATCTTAATGCTTGCAAAATGAAGCATTGCTTGGATCGGGTGCCATATGTCGAGTTAGAGAGGCTCAATTACACCAATTTCTTGTAAATATTCACCTGATTTCATTTTTTTTTTTTGACACTTTCATAGTCGCCCCATTTTTGGACTGGTTCTGGTCATGGATGTGTCAAAAAAATAAAGAAAGAGACAGAAAAAGGCATTTAGCTACTTTAAAATGATTTTGTTCATTGTTTTAAAATTTTGTTAATACCATTTACAGATTTTACCGTTTAAGGAAATCAGAAATCAGACAGGTTTTTCACATATGGAAGGTTGATAATTTTGAAGGCAACTAGTAATCTCCCAGATGACCTCTCCAAATTTTGTTATTTAATCGCATTTCTTGCAATTTCTATTTTTTTCCAAAATATTGATGCTAACTTTAATATCCCTAATGTGTCCCTGGAAATTCATGGTAAACTTCAGACAGGTGTTCAAAATTGGATAACCCAATTGATTACTTTGTTCCATGTGTTTGACCTCAGGAGGCTTAGTTCACTAGGTCACTGTATGAGCTCCCCACTGGGAGCCCACACAGTGACCTAGTTAATATTGTCAAATTTTAAAAAATAATGTCCTAAAATTATTCATTCATTCAATGATTGGTCTATTCCAGCCATTAGGAGCCTAAGAACAGTAGTAAAGAAAATGAAGAGAAAACATGTGTAAAATAAGGTTTCCCTAAAGACTAGTACATTTTTGTTTTTAACTTTTAAAGTTTCAATAAATCTGTATGTTTCGCTATGAAAACATGTTTTATTTGATTCCCTTGGAATAGAAGTTGGTCGACCCTGGGGAGGCCCAGACATTTGGATTATTTTCCCTGCCTCTAAGTTGTGTGCAACAACCGACTGGGCACCAGCTCCTTGATTTCCATATAAAACGTGTCGGAAAGTTGAGAGCAGAAAAAGATGGACGGCGGCAATTTAAACAATCATCCAGAGACGGGAACGGGCGAAACAGTTGCTCAAAGCACCGCCAATCTGGCAGAACGTAGTCCGTAGACTGTATTATATTAGTTGGTTAACGTGGTCCTAGCCATTGTTTTGTTTTGTATACATGTGTCTACATTGTATTGAATATATGTATGTACATTGTTGGTTGCATATTAAAACGTTTTTTAAGCCATGTGATTTTCTTTGCGGCGCCATCTCTCCTTAAAGCATGGAACTAGTCGAAGCAAGCGTCAATATGTCGTCCCATCTTCCTTTTACATGTCCGAAAACCAGGTAGCAACCAAATCATGTCCAAAGCGTCTTGTGTGTGTATATATATATATATATATATATATATATATATATATATATATATATATATATATATATATATATATATATATATATATATATATATTAGATATTTAAAATACTCTGGTGTTGTATTTTTGAGTTTAAGACTATATATAACTCAGTAGTCTCCAGGCAGAATTTTTGATTTTTTTCGCCTTCTTCAGGAAAGATGTTATTTTCTGAAAAGCCTTTCTATCAAGTGCAAACTTTTAAGTAATTCATTTAAAGGGGCTAATGGACCAGAACCAGGAAATTTCGAAATCCACTTTCTACTCTAGAATGTTACATTACTATTCCTTTTTCAGAAATCCAGTGAGCCACAAAACTAATTATTGTAACTCCAAAGAAACATTTACTTTTATTCAACTCAACTCCCACGCCACAAATTTTTGTCAAGATCTGTCTCAATATTTTATTGGGTTCTGCCATTGTAGTAGCGCACATAAATTAATTGTCGATATGTTGAACAACTCCTGGTGTGAAAGTTGTCAAAACTTAGCATTCACTTTTAATTTTAATTACATAAAACTCAACTGAGAAAAATAGCGTGATCCCGCTAATTTCGCCAAAGTTATAGAGTGGAAATCGATCTCAAAGTGTCTTCTATAGTCGCAACACAAGCTGACCCACTGCCCTTTGGGACCCACAACAATGGATGAAATAAATGCAGTTCGTTCATCAGCTGGTACGATTATACCCAAGACCACCCTAGGAGCTGCCCCAACAAAGGTTCTGCTCCCTCCTTAATTTGGATTTCAATTTCTCCCTTGAATTCTCTCAGACCGTTAAACAAGTTGGGAAATTCAGGGATTACCTCCACTTATGTTTTCTCATGTGCAACACCTCTTGATGACTTACCTAAGCAGTGAATTTTGCTAATCTGTCTAAAATTGGAGTTTACAATTTTTTTAAAATATACATATGAAGTTGAGATTTTTTGACTCGGTATATGTGATTTCCAAATAAAGTAACCAATAAGATTTACTTTAACTGCAATTTGTGGCTGAGATTCTGATGCAAAATACCCTCAAAATTTTTATCTCTGATAAAATCATTTTTTCATGGTCCCACAACCACAAGTACAAACCACATGAAAATCTGCCATGAAAGACTCCACTGACTACCTGGGCTGCTCTCTTCTCCTATTAAAACGAGCACTATCAAAAACTACATTTTTCTTAGGGAAAAAGTAATTATCAAACGCAAATAGTTTTTCCTGAAAGATATTTGCTGGATTTGGGAACTGCAAAATAATGTTATTGCTTTCTGGCCCCATGATGTAAATCATTTTTTTGTCGTCTTCGTCTGGTTTGTTATTAAGCCCAGTTTCTGCTAGACACCTTTCAAATCTTTTTCATGTTGTCCAAGCTCCTGGTTCCCGAAAATTGAAATATTCTGCAGCTTGCATGTGCACACCTTGGTTAGTTTTGATCACCACCAGCACCTGTTTGATCACCGACACTTGATCTTTGAACGCTTGTATCACAGCAACTCAGAGTTTGACTGTCAGGCTCTGTCATTCTAACCTCGCAAAACCCTAGAATAGTAATACCGCAGACCACCGAACAACAGATGCAACAAATGCCACCGAAGCCCTTGCGATAACTGAAATGGGTAAATATTTGCAAGAATTGATATTGGCAAGCAATAGCGACCCGCTAACATGGCGGAAGAAAGAAAAATTGCTTTTCCCAATCTGTATAAAGCCATCAAAAGCCGTGTAATTTCCACATCCATCCCTTCAGAAGGAATGTTTTCAAAAACAGCTCAAATTTGTAATGAGCGCAGAAGTAGGTTGTCAACTGAGAAAGTTGAAAAACTGTGGTCATGAGTTCAAATTTACATGATTTAAAACCTTACACTTAACAAAAAGTTTTTTTTTCAAATTTTTGACACAATTTAATTTAAAGAGAATAATTTTTGCTACCCATTTAATAAGAATAATTTTTGTTTTGGATTTGATCCTTTTGCGGATCGAAATCGGAAGGTGAGCGAATCCGTAAAAGTCGATACTCTCGATAAAGTTCCTGTCGCCATACTGAAATGCCTCGGCCTAATAGAGCCAAATGCTTAGATGTATATAATACATGAATTAATTACTGGTTTGTGATAGATGATTTCTTCTTTTGTTTTTTTTTTCATTGATGGGCTCTGTTCGTGTTCTGGAAGGTGTTAACACACCCTTCACTCCAGAATAACAAGAATACTCAGGCAAAAATCTACAACACTCTTTAGTAGATAAATCATGCTGCGTCAGTGTGCTGTAGGTGTCCGCCGGAGCTTTAAGCGTCTAGCGGGGTGACTTGGGAATCATACAGATATCGGGTAGTGTAAAATCGGGATTTTGGTACTTGAACCAGATGCGGTTAATATTTAAATTAAATTATTTTACAAAATGGTTAGAAAAAAAATTAAAATACAAAGAAGTTACAAAATTATATGTTATGATAATCATCATTTCAAGGGTTAAAAGAAGTTAAATTTAAAATAAAATAAAAAAAACATAGATTTAAGATATATTAATATGCAAATACTGCAAATGTATTTATGTACTGCGTCCATCCAATGTTGAATTCCTTCTTCAACAAAAACGTCACTAATCACCATAAATCGATATCAAGTTTTTTACAAATCTCACTCTCTGGGAGGATAGTTTAAAGACCCCCCAGGATTCTGGTACATTTGCCTCGCCTGGTTGGTGTACAAGGAAGCGGGGGCGGGTCCTTGCTGATACTGAGGTTGACTTCGTACTGGATATCCGGCCGTAATACTTCCACCTATATTTAAAAAAACCCTCAAAATTGACGTGTCCCCAGAACTTTAAAAAAATGTACCTTTGGGCGGTTGTTGCGTCTGGGGATTAATAGGCAATCCAGGCGCTTGATGTATAACGTGACTGTGAGTAGAAGTCGTGGTCCTCAGTGTCGAATAGTGTTCGGGGATTTTATGGTCCATTTGGAATGGCTGGGCCCTTTGGTTTTCGTAAACGTTTCTGGCCGTTTCTCTAGACAGGGGATAATAAATGGACAATTCCTGAGGAGCTACGGGGTAAAAGGCACTCGGCTGGCTGGAATATTGCGGTGTTTCTGAAATGAAGTACTTAAACTGAGGCGTCACATGATCACATGTGATCAGATTTGAAAAAAAAAGTAAATAAGTAGATTTTCTGCAATTTTCATTTTTTACAATAAAAAACACAATAAGTAAATTGATTCCAAGAGAAATATAAACAACTTTACTTCAAGTATCGAAAGGTTTTATTCAGGTTCAAGCCTTTTTCATGAGTTGCATCAAATTTTTCTAAACGTCTAGCCAGTAGAAGAATTTGTAATGTCCGAGATATGTCTTTAGAGGATACATTGAAACCAAAAGTAACTGACACTAATCAACACTAACCAACAAGAAAGTTTTGTTGCCAACTGAAATTTAAATTTTTAATAATTATGTAAAGATAATAATGTAATTCCATAAAATACAGATAATACGCACAGAATCAGGTTATGCTATTTTTCGGTTAGTAATATTTAGTACCTCAAAAACTTATTTTTTAGAGCTTGAACATTACAACCTTGTTTTTAGTTGTGGAGAATCGCAGTGTCTCAAAACCCGTGCAACAAATTTTTATAACTTTAATGTATTGAATTACATTACGATATTGGTTTAAGGATAAACGACGAAAGCCGATGCTGCGTGCGACTTTGATTAGAAACACACATCTTGAATGTTCAAAATTATTTGAAGTATATACTAAAACGTCGCCTACAGGATGGACAAATAAGCAGGCGGTATCTTCGGATCCACGAATTGTAAAGTGACAAGAGAAAAATACTGAAAATAATTTTTAAGTTCACATATATACCGTTAGGGGGCGTCGTAACTCTGTTTGGGTTGAAAAACGCAATTTTCTACTCCCTTCTGTAAAAGACCTAATTATACACCGATCTAGCGTATGGAAAATGTCACTTTACCACGTGAGTTTCGTGTTCCACGGATCCGAACCACTTCAGATATTTCCGGGATATTACCGCACGAGTTTGGAAGCAATCTGATGTTTTCAGAGATTTTAACGTACGGCTTGAATTTTGACGTTTGACGACTTGTTGCATAATACTATTATACTATTACAATAGTACATTATGCAAGAAGTGTGGTAAACGGCATTTGAGTCACCAGTTTATTTGGTACGAGCAAAGCGTAGCGCAGCGAGTTTAATAAACGAGTGACTTAAAAAGTTTACGAAACGTGTTGCAAACCATACTTTTTCTACGACCGTTAGGTTTTAGGTACATTTTTGCACAACACAAATACATTCACTAACATGACTGTCAGAATTGACAAACGTCAAAATTCAAGCTATGCGGTAAAATTTCCGAAAACATGCGATTGCTCCCAAACCCCTGCAGTTATATCCCGGAAATGTCCGAAGGTGAGAAAAACGCTTCATAGTTTCAGCGTATCTTCTTTGTCGTGGACTTTTTTTTCCTTATTATGTACTTTGACATATAACATCTACTGGTGGCACCCCAGAGAAGTTGTTTCCTAAAACCGAGCGCAGGTTTTAAGTACAATTTCCTGAAATGGGAATTTCACTGCGTTTATCGTGTAAAATTATTTATTCTACTCCCTTCTGTAAAATATCTCATTATACACCCATTTAGCGTACGGGAAGCGCCACTTTAACACGTGAGTTTCTTGTCTCACGGATCCGAGCCACTTCGGATATTTTCGGCATATTACCGCACGGCTTGGAACAATCGAGCAACGTTTGTCAATTCTGACGGGCATGTAAGTGAATGTATTCTTGTTGTTTTGCAAAAAAGTATCCACTCACTCGTTTAATAAACACTTTCTCCACTCGTAAACTCGTGACTCAAATGCGGACACTTGCTGCATTATATACTATTTTCTAATTGTTTTATTTATATATAAACGTTTTTGGATCTTAATAACTAAAACAGCCAAAGACACAAAAGACAGGGGAAGTTTGTCTTTTTTAAAACTTTGTATTACCCGGAAATAAAAAACAACTTTCCTTCTTTTTGATACATAAATTAACACTTACAAGGTCTTGCACCCCTCTATGTTTTATTGTTTTCGAAAAACGATTTCATTAATTTAACCCAAATCAATTAATGAGAATGGCGAGTGTCAGACTTACGCCTTACTGGTTGCCTAAAACTAAGAAGGTTACGCATTTTATTGATCGGTTTAAGGTTCCAATTCAGTCGTTACATTTCAATGATTAAAACATACGGGTTAATAGTGAAGTTCATCCGAAAAAGTGCAAAATTTTTATTTTATATATATTATATACTTTATTTTGTTTTGATTATTTGTTTAGTTAAATGCACTTTTATACCCGACCATAGCTAAGCAATGTAACCCAACGCCCCCTAACCGCATGAATATGAACTTGAAAATTATTTCTAGTATTTTGTTTTTGGCACTTTAGTTATAACATTTTCTACCCCATGTACATTTTAACATGCATAACTTGTGTATGCCTAACGACTATTGAGGCTCAGGTACAAGTAAGTGCTGTGACCAGAAATCGTAAATAATTTTATCAACAGTCTAGCAAGAAAATTATAAAACATTTCCAAAGAAAAATTTGTGGAGCTGTCATATTAAACATTAAAATTAGGGACACATGCAATGAAATTATTTGAACATAACACCACCATTGAAATAAACCTGTTTTTAAAGCTATAAACAAAAATATTGTTAAATGAATAAATGTGCACAAAGCGAGTGTGTTACATATTTAAACCCATCACAAAGCAAAAAAAAATTAGTATAAGTTGTTTTAAACAACTCACTGTTCCATAAAACTGCTCGGACTAATTCGTTACGTCTACCATCATCTTCTGCAAATAAAAGTTGTGTCAAAACGCATCATACTTAATATTTCATGCCAAATATTTTGTTCATCAAAAAATAACTCCAATAAGCAAAGAATGCCAGAGTTATTAAATGAATTTGCATTTCGGTTTTAAATTTAAAAAGAAAGCAATAACAAGTTGCACACACAAATGCAGGTTTACCAAAACTTTATTGTGGCGGTTGGTTAAAACTGGGATCAATATAAAAACTGCTTCTTTCATGTTGCACAATTCTACAATTAATCAATTTACTTACTTTGAGGAGATCCCTGATAAGATGGAACAGTGGGTGGCTTATAAGTCGCGTAACCCTGATGGTAGAGAGACACTGGTACTTGTGGCTGCGGACTTGGACTCCTAGGTCGCTTGAGTGCTGTTTTATAGGCAACTGGAGGTTGTTGAGGAGCAGGAGGCTGTTGAGACATAGTTTGTTGCAGTTGCTGAATGTATAGAGTTTGCTCATGGACAGCATTACTCAACATTTGGACACTGTAAAAAAAAAAGTTGCTGCATCCAAAAATTAATTCCAAATAGCCACTAACGTTGTCTCTTTTACAAGTTGTCTTCGTCTATTGTCATCCTCGTTAAGTACTTTTTTAAGTTGCAAAAACAGTTGATGCTTTTCTTCTTTGAACTGTTGTAATTTGGTTTCCAGTTGAGAAATCTGTTCCCTGGTTTCTCCCAGGGTCATTACATCTTGTTGCTCTCGCGCCTCGCGTTCTTTCCTTAATCGCTCCTCTTCCACTTCCGCCTCCCTTTCTTGCTTCTTTCGTGCCCTTTCCCTTAAAATGTGCGCCTTGAGTACTTTCCACATTTGCTCATTTCGATCGTTTCTTTCGGATGTGTTTTTACTAGCGTCGCTAGCATTTTCCGTACTATTGACGTTAGCGTTATTGTTATTAGCTTCCTCCACAGCAGCAGGCATATTATTAGCTGAGGTTTGCCAGTACTTTTACTTGAAGACAGATCGCGATTGATGAGTGGAAAACTAGAAAATCCTAAATTAAAATCAAACAACTACAAACGGAGCAAAATTGCTAATTCGTTAAAAACTATCAACCATTTAACAGATTAAAAATATAACCTCCGCCCCAAAAAATTTTTCGAAACCATAGAATATAAATATCCAAAGAAAATTAAATGGTAAGTCTACAAAACATACGCTCATTTCAAGCGATTCAAATGACTCCTTATCGACTGCATCATTAACAGACAAACAATTTTATTTGATTTTTAGGCAAAAAGGAGAAAATTGAATTTCGCTAAATTGACCAAAACTATTTTAGTGTTTAGTTCTTACGGGTGCATGCGTCAAGTCGCTTCTTCAAAAAAATCAACAATTGCCTTTCAAATCGTGTTTACATTAAGAAAAGGGATAATGTAGTGGATAAATGTGTGTGTATAGTCCGACACACTATGACTAATACTGATATTAACGTTTCCATCTGCTCGTAGGCAAACCGGTCCAGAATTATTATAAGAAAATCGAAACACAAAATATATAAATACATTATTTTGCATTGCATACGGTACAATTGTAATTATGTAAATAATAAATACATATTAAATAAAATGGTTTTATGTTGTTCCTGCTTTCTAGTATTAATTTACATTTTTGTGTTTATATTACTGCGTCAAACTTTGTTTTTTTAATTCAGCCCAAATCATTGCGAGTAAGTGCGAATGTGTATGTGTCAAAACTCACAGCGCGTTCAGTTCCAAGCGCGTCTCGAAGCGAATCAGATTGTGTCTAATTTTTAGAGCAAGTGTGAAGGCCAACTTCATTTTTCACACAGCAGCAGGCCCCACCAACTGGTGTACCTCGAGGTATACCTGAATAGAGTGCGGCCTCAATTCGTTTCGCACTTGCTCGCGGACTTATCTGGACACATTTGCGTACGGACTTGCCTGCATGTGTATAGCCCCCATATGAGGTATATTACCAGTTTTTTTTTATGACTTCGTCTACGAACTAAGTTTTATCATACGATTTGGTTCTTAAAACTTCAACTAGTTGTTTTGTCATATCTTCAAAATAAAGGATGTGCTGACTAACGACCTCTTGCAAAAGTTTGTTTTAAGCTAAAGTTTTGTGATAACTAGCATTATCACAAACTATTACGCTGCCTGATGCGATATTTGGAAGAAAAGAATATTTTATCGAATTTTCAAAAAGTTAATTTGTCATGTCCTGATGGTTGTCTAATAAGTCTTTAATCTTATTTGCTGAAATTGGCAAAGCGATTGGCATCCAACCATTCCACGAGTCACAGTGTAAAATTTATATTCTTTTTCTTCCAAATGCAGGACATTCAGAATTCAATTGGATGAAGAATTTCGCCCCCTTTGTTTATAGTGTCATGGTTGTTGAACTAACTCTAGTGTACATAATACACATTTCGTTTTTTTGAGTTAAATATTGTTGTCTTCATTTCATCAATTTTTGGGTCTCTTATATAATGCAACTGCGTCTGTCAATATTTTTAAATCGAAATCTTTTTTTGTGCAGAAATCCACTCTGTTTCACGACCGCCAGTAAATTTCATTTCTGTTGCAATGATTCAAGTGAAGGAATCTGATTACTGCTCTCATACATACATCGCATTCACTTCTCTGCGAATCAACTTTGCATCACCATTCCTAGGCACTTTCATTATACATTTGCCCATATAGCTACTAGACATATAGAGAGGCCCTGCCTACGCTAATAATACAGGAACTCGTGAAGCAACTATGTAACAAAATTTTGAGGTCTGGCATGCGCGAGATTTGAAATTTCGTTTTTAACCAATGACAGCTCTAATTGCAAATTCTGACGTTCGATCCATCAGGCCTTGCGGCTTCCAACAACTAACATGGCCCCTGGCAGGTTGTCAATGTTTGGATGCTGCACTTTTGCGGCATTTTCTCAAAATATATCGAAATCCTATTAAATGTTCAGGCAAAAAAGAAACTAAGGTGTGAAAAGGGTTCTTAAAAAAGTAGCGACAAGTGCAGGATTAACATTATGCTAAATTACAGCACACGGACCGGCGTCTTTAATATAATTCTGTAAGTATTTTGGCGTTTTGAGTCTTTAAGCTCTATAGACACGATACCTGCTATTTTGTTTTTATAAACTCATTGGTTTCACCTCCATTGAAAATGTAAATAAAGTCGAATTCACCAAATGTGAGTCTGAATATAGCTTTGAGGTACTAGACATCGCACTGGAAACATCTAAGTGGGAAAAATGTTCAACAAGCACTTCATATAGACAGAATGCTTATTCTTTCATCGCAAATCTAGTAATTGTAGAAAATTTCGCCTCCCCAATAATATAATTATGAAAAGTAGTAGGTATTGGAAAATGTAACCAAGAAAATCAAAAACTAGTATAAAACAAGTCAATGAACAATTAGCCCAAAATTTAACACAATTAACATTACCAAACCCTAAAAAGTGTAGTTTGTTCTCTTAAAATTAAAAAAAAAAATTTCGAGCAAAAATTGCATGGCGGCTACCCCAAAAAAATCCCCGCTAAAAATATTTAACAGCAATTGTTAAATGCTAAAAATATATGTAGAAATTGCATTGTATCTACCGGGCTTTAGATACTGGTATCAATTCACAGAATAATTTAGCAATATTTTATTGCAATCTGGATTCAAATGTAGATAACTAGACATTACTTTTGCAGAAATGCAGATGTCCTATCAAGAATTTTTTTTTCCAGATGCATACTCTAGACAGGTTTTGTAGACAAGATTGTGTTTTATGCCACAACTACGACTTGCCTTTAATTATAATAGTATTTTATATAGTGTTTTATTAATTAGTTTTGGTTAGTATAAGTAAATACATAAATTATTTAATAAGGCCTTTAACGCAAAGAATAAAATATATTGTTGCTTATAAACACAATAAGAAATTACATAAAAATATATGCTGCATTTTAAATAGCATAATAATATTTATTTTTTATTTTTTAAGGAACTTTTATATTACTTGATTTGAGAGGATCACCACCTTTAAAAATTGCAAAAAAGAAGATGAAACTAATAAAAAAAATGTTCATTTATAATACAATAAAATATTGTTAATTATGAGTAGAATAACTACAGTAAAAATTTTATTAACTGTAAATTCAAAAGAAAATTTAAATCAGAAGAACTTGTTGACAGTATGTTACTGTTCCCTAAGTTCTTTTTAAAAACTGATGACCACTGGTTATTCTGTGCCAGGCTTTTCTATAACTTGTTATGTTGTTTTGACTATCACTGAAGATTAAATATCTGCTGGTGTCTGCTCTAGTTCTACCTAGGAAAGAAATTATTATTTCGACTTGTTGGAAATAACGCATAAAAACGGCCCACTATCAACAAAAATTTCTCTTATGCAGGAAAAATAACAATATATTAGACTGAAAAAAAGTTGGTAACCTAGTACCAACAAAATACTATTTTTGAGAATTGTGAAATTATTTGATAAATTTTATCAGTCTGGTTAGAAAAAAAAGGTACCATTTGGCTTTGTAAATAAGTACCATCAGCAAATAGAATGAAAAGAAAACAAGTAATCCGAGTTACAACTGATCACAATATCTACCTAAAAGACACTGCACTGCTTACTTTATCAAGACTTTACCACCTCTTCTACAGCATAAAGAAGTGATTTGACCCCCATATATGGATAATTTTCTTAAGCCTGCCTGGCAGTTCCATTTTTGTCAAGCAATGTTATCCATGGTTTCTTTACAATTTCATCTTTTGGTAAATTAAAAAATAAAATGTAAATTGAATGACACTACTTGGATAAGTGATTATTATATCAAAACTAAGAAACAGACATACATGCAAATCTACAAAAAAAAATGGGATAAGGAACATGGATCAGTCACATAACTTGTCCAAAAACTTGTACTAAATATTTTTTCACACAAGGGAGGTAGGTGATACTCACGAGTCAAGGACATAACTTACTCTCGAGCTAAGGAAAGGTTGGGAAAATAGTCGGAGGCTAATCAATATCTCTTTCTCCCAAGTTATGCATATAATATTTTTCCTACTCAAGCTGTCCCGACTCAGTATTTATTGATAGAAGTGGTTCTATTAAATCAGTGTCAAATTGTGTATGTACGTACTGCAGTATTCACTTACCTCCCTCAAGGGGTAGGTGACCTACAAATGAAGTACCCCACAATTTTGAATAGTTACCTAGAATTCCTGGTAATTCTTAAAGATTTCCTGTAATGCCTTTAGACTTCCCATAAATATCCTGTAGATTTATCATTTAAGTTCTTCCTGTTGCAGTTGAACTGATTCTGGTAATTCCCCACTTTCTGCGGTAATAATTTCTGTAATTTTTGACCAACCGAAACGCAATTTCGTTTTCAGTAAGCGTGATGATGACAAACGAAAACTTTCCCACATTGAGGTTTACAAGGATTTGTAATTATCAAGGAGTATTTCTTGTGGTTGTTCTAGTAAAACTTGCAGCTTAATTGTTTTCTTAAATTTTCTGTAATTCTTGTACATTAAAACATATTACCCAAACATCTTTCCAATGTAAAATATTTTTTTTTAATAATAAAACTTATTGATTAATCAAATGAGAAATGATTGACAGTCTATATCTTAGCAAGACTATTTTTGATTAAAAATTAATTAATTTCATTTTTTTAGAAATTATTATTTAAAAATACTTTTTCGAAAAGAACGTGGATTTAAGTACTTCGATGTTGTTTTAACCGAAGAATTTATGGGTAATTTAGATTATCACAGATAATGCTATCAAAAGGTGACAGCATTACGGGCTAAATACAGTGAAGAGTACTTCAAATTTGTTCAAAATTATAAAGTAAGTAAAAATTTTTATAGTTTATGTATTTTCTTTAACAAAAATAATTTTTGTTAAATACCTAATTCTGATATTATTATTTGCAGATGAAAGACACGAATATCAGCTTATAAAATTTAATTTTCAATAAAATATATCCATCCGAAAAATAAATCACTAAAATATTAAGAAATAAACGGATGTAGAAATTATTTTTTTTTAAGTAGTGTTTAAATTTTTTTGTGATGGTAAAATCTGCGTGAGAAATTGGTAGACTAAACT